TATTGCATTATTTCTCTCACATAAAAATTTTAAGTTGTAAAAAGAACACACCATAATTAAGAGTAATAGAGACCATATGACAGTTTTGAATTGTTTAAATCTCAATGAAAGAAAACTTATCCATTTTTTCTTCTTAATCTAACACAATTTTGACGTACGTAATTCATATATACAGTTTAGAATTGTACTTTAAACAAAAAGGTGTTTTTTAATATCCTAGAAAATTTCTTTTATTACATATTCAAAGGCTTTTTTGATGTTGTGGATGGGGGAAAGCTGTGCAGGAAAATATTATATGGTCGAGGAGAAAGGAGAAAGAACTTTAGCCGACTACGAAAAGTAAAAGGCCAACTCATCACCTGTGGAGCGAGAGTTTAGTCTATTCACGTTTACTCGCGAAAGAGAAAGGTTTGATTTGAGTGTGAGATTTGAAAGCCTTTTAGTCTTTCAATCTATCATAAATATTATTATGCATTCACATAAATTTACTTTCTTTTCTTGGTTTCAGTTTCACATCATTAATAATAGGGCACACCAATATTTTGATCACATATACTGATATGATGGATATTGCTGAGTTGCGACTTTCTTTTCAAGGATAACGATTTGATCTGACTAGGGTATATTACTTCTTAACATATAATCATGAGAGTTCAAACAAATATATACTATATTTAAGAATTAAGAAATTATATTTTGAAGTTGTTTTAGCCAACATTCTTACGGGTATAACAAGTTTTATAACGTTTTTTTTTTACTATAATATTTTTGAAAAAAAAAAGATAAATTATTTTTATGTGGAATGGAATGGTTCGAACCATATCATGTTCCAAGTGTATATAGTTTTGTTTTCTCTAGATCATATTCTAGTTTCTTCATGATATTATTCGTTGATTCGGAAACACATTTCCCACATCAATACTCAATAGTTATAGTTATACACAAGATAAAGTACAAAGAAAGCGAAAAAGAGAGAGAAAGAAAATAAAAAGAAAAGAAAAAGGAGCATTTTCTCTCATTTTCACTTGAAACAACCAAGGAATCTAAAGTGGAAAATTCTAGATATAGCTTAGCTCTAAAGGAAAATTTAGTGGATCAATTTTCCTTACTCTAGGTTTTCTCATTTCTCTTTTGAATTTTTTCATTTCTGTACTAAAGGGAATAAAAGTAGTTGGATGAATAACGAACTTGTGAAGAATGAGTGGCTCTAGCTATTGCACTAGTACTACTAATAAAATGGGGTACTCCTTCTCTTTTTAATTACACATGTCCTTTTTTCCTTAAAATTACATCAGCGGGCAAGTAGAAGACAACTGTATTGCAAGCTCAGTTAGTTAGTTAATTCTTAGTTGGGGTGATTTTTGCGGTAGAAATTTAAAAAAAAAAAAAAAAAAAAAAAAAAAAAAAAATTTTGGGGAAAAAATTAAAAAAAAAAAAAAAAAAAAAAAAAAAAAAAAAACTATCGGGTATGTCTCTGTTTTTCAACTGCACAGATCATATCAGAAATTGTTTGTTTTATATACCTTTTTATTTAAACGTGATTTTAAAGAAATTCAACTTATACTACCGTGGGACTCTTTTATTGGATGAAAGAAAAAAGAGTATGGTATATGATTACGAATGACTTCAAGTTTGGAGTCTTTTCCTATGCCTATACAAGTGGAATAATAATATGGTCATGTCCCTAGCTAGCTAGCTAGCTATAATATGGCACTTTTATATGCATTTGCTGCCAATTGTGGGCGCGATGCCATGGTGCCCCAACTTTATCCTCTGAAGAGAGAAAGAACAATATAGGGAATTTCAAATCACACTTCTATCATGGGTCTATATTTTGTGAGATCATATTCTTCTCTCATTTTGTGCGTCATCTATCTTTATATATATGTGAAAAATTATGTTCTATACACTTCTTTTTCCATTTTCTGATCCGTTGAGCTTAGCCAGAGACCAATATCACTACTTCATATCAGGCATCTTTTTCTTTTTGGTCAGGGTCAATTGGCATCAGTAATGTGTGGCATTGATATTTTCAAACAATCAAGATTCACATCTATGATTCATCTATATCAAGTGCAAATTTTTTTTCCTTTCTCTCTCTCTGTGTTTTTTTTTATTTTTTTATTTTTTTTTTGAATTTCACGAGTACGTACTGTACAACTTTTCTTTTCGTTGTAATGAACTCCAGTACGACTTCCGCTAATTAAGACATCACATACAACACGTGCTTAAGATTATGTTGTATCTAGCCTAAAGGGACAACTTTATTTTTTTTGGCTCTAAAAAAAGGGAGTCAGCTGGTGCTCCTCACACTCCCATTCCCTTCGACATCTTGCGCAGTTCTGAGAGCACCGAGGGACTAGTGGATCAGAGTCTCAACTATTCTCCTCACGCCTTCTACCTAATATCATCCGCCTGCCACAATCCCAGTGCCAAGTGGGTTCAATTGAGGCGAAGGATAGAGAAGACCTAATAAAAGCGGCCTGACCACTACTCCATAACCATAGGTGGTGAGGGACAACTTTATTTGAATCGCATGTACATAGTTTTCTGCTTATTAAAAAGACATAGAGAGGGCCCGTTTAATTCGTTGATTTGAGTTTTTAATTCGAGTTGAGATGTGACTTTATGTGAACGGGACCATAATAGATCCTCGATCACAAAAGCATTTGGCTTCAATGTATTTCTCAAGACTGAAAAGTACCTCGAAATTAACCTAGCAAGATCGTAGTCTGCAGTACAATTGAAAAAGATTTATTTTCCTTTTTGATCTCCGAGAAATTATAGCTAGTTAGTGTCATCCCACTTTGACGTAGCGCTCAAAATGACATCTAAGTTCGTAACTGTAATTGTACTTCCGTCTACCAGACATTAAGCTTTGCATGTTTTAGGAACGTACAATACACGTTATAGGTAGATATATAAAAGGGCAAAAGCATAAAAGAATAGTTATCTTACTATAGTGGCCAAATATTGCTAGTGTTTTTATACATTGTTACACATTAAGCTTCTCAAGTGGTTGGGAGAATTGTTGGAGCAGGCGAATCTCAGGCCTTTCCTTCACTATCTAATAATTCCAAGTACAATTGGTAGATGTTAGCATCGTTTCATCAGCCATGGATCACGCCCAATGGATCCAGCAAAACCAGCAGACTAAAATTAGAAATATATGATATTTGTAGTAGTAGTTTTTTTTTTTTTTTTTTTTTTTTTTTTTTTTTTTTTGGGTGCAACTGGGCGAGGGTTGTTTTCTATTGATTGTTTGGTAGAAATGTTGACCTTGTCATCGGCCGAAAGTTTTAGAAGACTAATTAGCCTGGGGCTTTTTTCAGAGGGATATCGAATTTCAGGGATTTAACTTCCAAAATCCTACTCATTCGTGGGTGAAAGGCATTTGCTTGTGATTCAAATCATTACAACTAGTGAGTCTAGATTTGCTGTCCCTATTTTCTTGTCTCAGTGGTGACTGTCTCTTCACTGCTTATTTATCATGTCATATAAATTTAGAAATTTGACTACATAAACAGAAACAAAATACTAAAACTACTTGAGCAATTCACGAAGTGTTAAAATGTAATTAGATGAACAGATCTTGGTGCCATTAGGGACTCAAACATCGAGGGCTAAATTTGTGCCATTTTAAGTGTTAAGGGCCAAAGTAGGACAACACTAATTCTCCATGGCACAAAAGTGAAAATAACCGAGGTTGCAAAAATTTCTTGTTGGGGAGACACCATATGCGAAACTGACCCAACACACTTCAAGAGTCCAACTTGACCCGAAAGGTTAACTTAGTAGGTCTTGGGTCCTTCTATGTATATAAATCACTTCACATTCTCATCCACTTTCTATGTAGGACAACACATACATGTATTTTTCTCAATATTTCTAAACGATGTTCATTAGATATCATTTTGTATAGAAGATATATTTTCATTAGATACATTTGTTTGGGTCCTCTGTATACATAAATCTAATACGATTTAGGCATTGTTTGGTACAAGGGTTCTGAACCCAGAATTATGATTCTGGTTCAAATAAGTATTTGTTTACAAAAAGTAAAAAGTGGTTCTGATTTAACTCATCAGGAATCAATGTTTAGTTTGGATGATTATGATTAAAGATTTGAACTCTGATGTAATGTTTTAAATAATGAATCACTTCTAATTCTAAAACTACCCCCTTAGTTTTAGGTGGTTTAAACTCTTGATTCTGATTCTGGCTTCAGAATAATGATTTAGACCCAAAATCATTATTCATAATTCTAATTTAAAATTAAAATTAAAATCACCTTAATTTAACTCTCATACCAAATAAACCCTTAATGTTTGGAATTGTGCACTGCTCCTAGTAGGTCTTCCATACCAGCTTTTACGCTTTATCTTTAGATGTACTTGAATTTCTCTCATTGAGCCATATTTGATTGTTTTCAAAGGCTAGAAATATCTGAGACAATAGTAGTAGATAACATAGAGTAGCATTTTGAACTGGCCCCTCCCTTTCCGTACCCCATCTAGCCCATCTTTCACATAAAACATGCATATAATAAATTCTATGCGTATCCACAACTAAGATGTGACTCCACCTTTCCCCCACTCAGTTGTCATTTCCACTCCCATCATTTCGTGGAATTGACTGCACATTTTCATTTCAATTCAATCAACCAATAATTGTATCTACTTGAAGAAAGTACTCCCATTTGTTTCACTCTCAAACTGAAAACTGCACTGGTAAAAAAATGTTACATAACCAATGTATCAATGGTATTAAGGCACGTTTAGTTTGATGATTCAAGTTTTTAATTTGAGTTAAGATATAATTTTATGTGAGAGTTTTTTACTGTAGTAAAAAATTTAGATGTAACTGTTTTTGAGAGCTTTTTACTATAATAAAACTCGAATTCTAAACTCGAATCGGTAAAATGAACGGGGCCTAAAACAACACTTTTTCAACAAAAAAGAAAAATACAAAAAAATTATATTAATTAATAAAACAACACATTTTCTCCAAACATATATCATATATGTACAGCAACTGCCAACCTCATGTACTCAAATACAAAATCACTCACTAGATACCATATTCTTCTAGGGAAAACCAAAATGTGCTTACGTGGCATATTTATATAGTATACTAATAGTAGCCTATAAAGGATCACTATTTATATCTTTCATCATCGTGATCTGTTTGGTGTGTTCATCTCATATATAATAGAAAGACCCTCCCCTAGATGCTCATTTATTTAGTCATACATAGCTTTAAACTTTTCTTTTAAGGGTCACATTTCTCCCATGTTCCATAAAGCATCTGCCGCCATGTCGCCTAGCGCCCAATCGCTTTCCGCCACATGGCAATTGAGCCCCGAAACGTCAAAAGCTTCAAACTCCAAAATGGAGTCCAGATTTAGACCTTCAAATCCATAGCTACTGCTGTCCACATAATGAACAGAAGAATTACTCTCATGATCCAAACCACTAATCGGATCTGTTTTCTCAATGCCATTGGAAAAAGTATACGTTTTCGGGTGTTCTTCAACTTGCGGGAAGAGCGAGGTGATGATGGAATCCGTGGAGAGAATATTCTGGTTTGTGAAGGCATAATTCAGACACCCATTGGAATGATTTGAACCGGGTATTGGCTTGTTTGGCAGAATTGACGATGAATCTGATAGAGCAGGAAAGGTAGTGGAATTTGGAGGTACAAAATCATTAGGAACTAATTCACAGTCTTGGGCACTTGGGATTATTGTTGTCAAAGTTGAAGGAGAAGAATTAGTAGAAGTACTAGAATTAGAAGTTTGTTCCATCTTTTGTAGCAATCTTGGCATCCAAAAACACCTAACTGCCTCTAGAAATCTCTTGCTGTTGGACTCAATATTCAGTTGACGTGCCTGTTTTTGGACCCTTGTTCTCCAATAGTTCTTTATCTCATTGTCTGTTCTTCCCGGTAGATGTTGGGCAATTTTTGACCATCTAAACACAACCCCAGAAACCAAAAAAAAAAAAAAAGTTATTATATATTATACAAAAAAAAAAACAAATATATATATATATATATATATATATATATATATATATACCAAAATGAAGATGAGAATATTAGGTAATAATAACCTGTTACCCCACTTGGAATGAAGTTCAAGGATCAAAAGCTGTTCTTGCGGAGTGAGGTTACCACGCTTAATGTCAGGTTTCAAGTAGTTCAACCATCTCAATCTGCAACTTTTCCCAGTTCTCTTCAGCCCTGAAAATATATAATAGATAAATTGAGAATCAAAATCAAAAGTGAAATTGATTATATAAGCAGTCTAGATTTTTTTTTAATGAATGATGAGAGAAGATAACTGATATCAGAAATAAATAATATATATATATATATATGTTATTTGTACCTGCACGTTTAGCCAATAAATTCCAATGGCCTTCACCGTGGCGAGCAATGTAATGTATGAGCAGAGTGTCCTCTTCAAGAGTCCATGGCCCTCTTCTCAGCTCGGTTTCTTCTTCAATATTGTTGTTTGGATGACAAACCCTCTTTGTAATGCTATGCATAGCTGTTTCGTTCAAATTTGTGTTCGAGAATAGAAGAGTTGTTTGACACAACTAATTATCCGTACGAGGTTGTTTTTTTAGAGTGTTTGGGAAAAAAGAGCCAATTGCGAAAGTGAAATTGTAGAAAAGAAGGCAATAAAGATTTTGAAGAGCTCAAAGTTTAAAACTACACCTTTTAATAGTAGAGTGAAAACCCAATTAGAGTTTCTCCACTTGCTCTTGGCTTTTTATACTAATCAACCCAGGAATGGAATTTTCTGAAATGGGATTATTGGTCGTATCGTTTGTATAGTACAATATTATTGCGGATATGAATTAGCCCGCCGGGGATGGGATAAAGCCAAAGAGAGTATAGCTACTTTACTCAAGTATTCCTTAGTCGTGGATATAATATAATAAATAAATAGAGAGAGAAAGAGAGAGACTTAGAATTAGACCAGTCAAAGTACTTTCTATCAACATCAATCCAGAATGAAGGGAATCATAAGGCCATGATATCTAATACCTTAAACGGATTCTCCGTTCAACAAATCGAAATAAAAATAAATTAATATATATATACCATTAATTTATGTTATCTTCCACAATTTAAAGATTTTGATTTTTCACTCTTATTGTTTAAACAAACGAGAAGTTATGTAAATAAAATTAAATGATACCAAACGGGCCTTTATTAAAATAAATATGTTGCAGACCAGAAAAAAATCAAAGCCATAAACGGTTTGATTTTTAATCAGATTCATTATATTTAGACAAGTTATTTAATTCTCATACAAATTTTGATATAATATTTTGAAGCTTTTTAACTATAAAAGTACACTAACTAATTACTAACCAGCTTTTTAATTCTCCATCCAATAAATAAAAAGAAAAAACTGGATATGCCGTTATAATTTGTTTAAAAAAAATCATGTATCGAGATTAGATTTTTATCAGATTCCACTATAATTTACATTCAATAATTCTCATACAGTACTTCTGACTGACACAATGTTAGTTAGTAATTTTCCTAAGAAAGTGCATTGGCTAATTATTAACTAGCTTTAAACGTGTTATATAAGTCTCGTTTATTTTACCAATTTGAGTTTTGCTACAGTAAATGGTTCTAAAAAACAATCACATCTAATATTTTTGTTATGGTAAAAAATTCTCACATAAATTTACATCTTAACTCGAATCAGCGAATTAAACGGGTCCATCTAATGAAATGCGTATTTGGAGTAATTATTTCGATACCACATTCATTCCCTCATACATGGAAATTAATTAAAGATGAGGCTTCTTTGTGAATATAGTAGTACTTTTCAATTGACAGTTACTTGGGTTTGAAAACGGCTCTTTAAGAAAAGAGGAAGAAGAAAGATAAGACCTGGGTCTCGAGAAGGAACTAATTTTGTGGTTGTTTCTTCTAAGGAATGATTCTCTTCTATGTCTAGAGGTATCTAGTTTCTTTGCACAAGAAACGTGATTGACTAAACAAAATATATTTTACAATAATGTCATGCAACTAAAACGTGGAATTTTTGGTACCGACATACTATCCACATGAATAGGACGGCAATGAAGCATGTTATAAATTCCAGCAAAACGATATCTTCGGAGCTCAAAGACAAACGAATAGGACGGCCCCAAGCAACATATATAGTAGTACATTTTTTTTTGAATACATGATAACATATATATATATATATATATATATATATTGCTGGAGCCTTAATTGAATTAATGGGTAGAAATCAATACTCCATACACGAAAAAATACCTTCTAATTAATATCTTGAGGCAATTTTTTGGCAATAAAAAAAAACCCCCTCCTTTCTGTTTTTTAGTCTAAAAATAAGTTAAAAATAATATTTATTTAAAAAAGAAAATACCCATATCAAATTAAATTATTTCTTGATTTTTCAATGTTCTTACTTTTTTAAGGAAATGTTCCTATTTAAAAGGGCGTAAAGAATATTTTCTCAAAAAAAAAAAAGGTGCAAAATGCAAATACTTGGATGATTTTTTTTATTTTAAATACAATGCTAATTGATATTATATTAACACTAAAAATAATCCAGTAATTCCATAAAAAATAAGTAAAAGAAAAAATTTGAAATTTGAAAAATCCAGTTTTCCTGCCCCCACTAGTCCCTTGATGTACCTGTCCTGTGATTATGGATAGGTTCTTTAATCGTTTTTGCCTTGGAGGAAAACCTGATTATGGACAGGTTTATCTAGTTTTGTTTAGTATTGATGAATTTAGGTGTATAAACTCTTTTTTTTTTATGTTTTGCATTGGACGTTTAATGGAAAGAAATGATGGTCAACAATATTTACTCATTTGCTTCTTAGTATTGACTACCAATATGTTAACCATTTAGTTTATTTGACAGTTATCTGGAGAAGTTCTTTAATAGAGATGCTTCCCTTCTGGTTTGTTAGGGATGGTTGTTAAGAAGTTCTCATGGGTCTTTGATTGTTAATGATCAGGTGCTTTTTCCCCTCTAGGTTTTACTAGAAAGGTTTTTACTAAAGCCTATTATAGTAGCTGATTTTCAAAGGAGAGTCTTAGATTAGTCTTTTGGCGTCAACTTACCTCTTGGGGTATTTTTCTTTTTGGTTGTCATGCTGTATTATTTTGCCCTTTTGGAACTTTTGATGTATTTTATTTATTTATTTCTATTAATAATAATTTGAGATAGGTACTTAGCAGGGATAGGATTTTTAAGAGGTATCAATTGAGTTGGGATATTTTGATCTTTCTTGATGCTAGCTGCTCCTTTTCACCATTTATTAAAAAAATTATCAATATATCATTATTTTCCATTTAAAATTTACTTGAATGTAACTGATGGACTAAATTGGAGACATTAAAAGAGTTCAAAGTTTACGTTAGTACAACTTTTAATTCATGAACTAATTATAGAAAGTGAAGAAACTTCAGAAACCTCTAATAACTTTAATACATTTTTTTTTTTTCACTTGATTATAGTGTGGTTTCTTCTCTAACCGTTCATTTCACTGGTTCGAGTTTAAAATCCGAGTTTTACTACAGTAAATAGCTCTTAAAAACAGTCATATCTAACTTTTTTGTTACAGTAAAAAGCTTTCACATAAAGTCACATTTTAACTCAAATTAAAAACTTGAATCAGCAAGCTAAACGGGCCCAATTTGATTCAAATATCAAAACCAGGTAGAACCCAAAAGAGGAATAAAAGTAGAATCTTCAAAGATCCCTTAAATTTGTTAATGCAATATATTTGATCCACGTTTTTCTTTTGGACAGGTGAGTTAGAGTGCGTGCTGTTGCATTTATACACGAATATCACAGGGAAAACGAAAAAGAGAAATACAATAATATGCTACGATTCATGAATCTGAATTATGGAATTTTTATATTATGTTATATCGTCATTCAAAAACGGCGATATAACCTAATGGAAAATTTTAGTCCAAATATTCTTTGAGAACTTCCACGGTGGAGATTCCGTATTGGTATTATTGTGATTTTTTTTTCAACTTTAGATGAAAATGATATCATATCTAATAGATGATACAAATTCAATGGAATTTATGTAGAATTATCGGTCGAAGACTGTAGTATATTTGGAAGGTACTTTTTCTTTTGCACACTACCGCATAATTTTCTCTGAATTCTCTACCTTGTATATGTACAATATAGGGTCTAAAAGTTGGTAGATCAAAGAATACCCTATGTAAGCAATGAATCTAAAAAACAAATATGAGATTCGCATATTGTTTGATTCTTAGTTATATAACTTTGACACGACGATGTTCAGAATTAGACACCCTGAATTTACGCAAGCGAAAGCAATAAAACTGAGTGGACACACAAAATGTATAGAAATTTATCTTAATGTAAAACTACGTCATCTGTCAGCTACGGTAGTTTTTCAGCTATGATAAAAATGAAGTTCATAAGAGAAATTATACACCTCTTAACCCTCTATGTTTTCTCTAATTAAGCTACATAACAAACGAGAATTTCTAGCTCAATGTTCCAGACCACAAAAAATCTCATGGTTTCAGTCGTTGTGTTCTTAATTTTATGACAGATTTTCCAACTACTATTAACAATTCAAACATAGCTCTCTATAGCTTGTCTGCTTTAGATTGCATAGCAAAACAACTGTAACAATTTGGGCAGTGTTTCAAAGCTTATATAACGTTTTAAAGCTGACGGATATTTAGAAAGGCGAAAAGTCATTCACGATAAGTGAACATGGATATCACCTGTTAATTTAAATAATACTATTGAGAGAGTTTCTCTGGTAGGCCTTTCTATATGTAAGGCTTAATTTCTGACCGTTAGATCTGGTTAAAGTCACATCAGATGTAGATCTGACGTAGTAGTAGATCATAACGGCATTATGATGGGGCATAATGCAGAACGGAATTGTATGACGTAGGTGAAAAGTATACAAAACGTATAATTTGTGATATAGATCTGACGGTTGAAAATATACAGAATTACTAGTAGTTCATTTTCTTCTAGATCCTATTAAAAAAACTCCCAACTATTGAAGATCAGAAGGGTGGCTGGGTGATGGGGCCTTGAGGCTTAAAAGGACATATTGCACATTGATCAATAAACGTAGTAGTAGTACTTGGGGATATTTTTCACATGTATGTGCATGTACACCAAGAGTCAATTATTGTAGGTGAAATGTTGGTAGCTACTAGGTAGCTAAGTAGATAGATATAATGTGATATTTGAGTCTCCGTCTCATTCAAATGGGATAGAGAAAGGGCGGTTACTAAATTGAGTCAAAATGGCATTATAGGTGGAAGATAGATGCTTTTAGATGTTAACCATATTTGAACGTAAAGGCTAAGGACTAGTCATGTGATGAGTTTGTGGGTGATACAAATAATATTGGCCAAAGATAAGCCTTAATTTACTAAATGCTTGACCAAGGCAATAATTGCGACTAAGATCATGACATAAAAACATTAGACAAAATTATGATAGATATAAGTGCACGCGTGTTTGTGCGGTGGGGAACTACCTATTGCCTATGCCTACGGAGACTTTTATTTGATAGAAAGAGAGATGGATAACAATGACAAATGACAAATTTCTCTATATTGTTCATTACACAATTGCACAATATTTACTATCATAATAAAATTTGCTAGCTTAAATTATGTATCGAAGTCGTCCTTGAACCTGTGACGTGACTAGCTAAATCTTGATATGTGTTTCGTATTGTTTAAGTGACTTAAGGAGAAACACGAAAATGCCATTCAAAACGTGTCATCTTTATATTCATGCTACCCAATAATATTTATACATATTTTTAATTTTTAAATATTTTAACACATTACTTTTTCTCCTCTATAAAGATGACCGGATATTTTTAGCTCCGGTCTTGTGTTCCGGTAGAGTATCAAAATCAACAAAGGCAATAAGAGACGAGATGACATAAATGTAAAGTTATTAAATTGCAGTGCAATAATTTTTTCTCTCGTTAATATTATGGTCTCAATCAATATATAGAGAGGACTAATAACACCTTTTTTTTTTTTTTTGCATGAAATAGAAATAAATGGAAGAAATTTGGAATAAATAAGTAAATGTCAGTAAATCTTGGATTTATTATATTTGTTCCATGATCAAATTTAGTAAACAAGAAATTTACTGTAAATCCCTGATTCACCCCATGACCAATTATAATAAATTCGAGATTCACCCAATACATTTTGGATTTATTTCGTGATCAAACTTAATAAATCTTGGATTTACTTCCATAAAACCTTACATTATATGTATATATATTATCTATATATTTTCATTTACATAAATATTTACAAATGTTTTAGATAATAAACTTATTTTTTACCCTTATAAATCTTCTTTTAAATTAAAAATGTTACAATAAACATGCCATTTACTATTGTAATATTAAAAACTAGGTTATGAGGTACAATGTCTCCAATAAATATGTCTGAATTGTCCAAGATAGAGAAGTCGAGGTGAAAAAAGAAGAAAAAAAAAGAGCGGGAGAGGGACATGGGAAGAGAGAAGAGAGACAAAGAGTGTATGCATATAAATAATTTTGTCGAATCATGTAAATTTCTATCTTTTTTGTGTATATATTAATATGATCCATTTTAGTTTATTTTCTGTTATATGGGTACGAGGTGAGTTTTTACCCCAACACTAATACGCAGAACATCATAATTGTAAGCTGTAAAACACTGATTTTGCCTACTGATGTGTAAGTAGTTTGACTCGAAACTGATTTTTGAAAAAGCTATTGAATAAGAGGTTCAACCTGTTTTTTTTTTTTTTTTTTTTTTTTCAATATTCTCCCCACAATTTACCTATAAACGCCTAATTCAAATGCATAATTTTCTATATATAAGTGTCAATAAAGGAGTCCTCTCTATCCTCCTCATGTATCTAATAATCTAAGAACTAATTTAAAGTGGTTTACAAGTACCTTTAGAATTCCTTACTAAAACTAGGAATACAAATGATCGTCTACGCCCAAAATATGGATTTCATTGAAGACTCAAAAGAGTTTTGAAATCTAAAACTAGAACTGTCTATACAACTAATTTAGGCTCAAATACTCTTTAACACAAATATGTATGCATCTTTATAATGTGTCGGTGACGGTGTGTTTAGATTGTACGTATTGTACCTATGTATGTATATGTGTATATTGTACCTTAGACACAGACAAACATAAGAAAGGACACACGTCAAATCTGGTACAGTATGGATTAGGTTTCTAAAGAAAGTTGAACACGATCGAAATGGTGATGAGAAGATATCCGAATATTTCTCACTACTGAATCTGAGAGTAGAGTTGCTTAAATAGTAAAACTGATCTAAGCGCCTTATAAACTAGTTCCAACTTGTTAAATCTACCAAAAGAAAACATACAAAGTGTAAACTGATCACAGCTAATACGGGCCATCTAACTTTCCAAAACAATCTAATCTGCTCTAACGGATTACAGAACACTTAGAGCTAACCAATAATATTTACTCTTGACACGGCAGGCAAGATATGTGATAGTACTCTAAGCTCTTAGAAAGTCTAATTTCTACATGGTATCATAGCCTAATAAACTAAAATAAGCAGTCCGATTCATCCAATAAAAAGATTGGCGACTCTTAGAAAAACACCATCTGAACTAGAGCTTAGAGCTTTTGATATCATGAGAAACACTCTATTTTAGGGCTTCTTCTTTTTTTCTTTTTTTTTTTGTCACGTATAAATTGTTATGAACTTGTAAATTAAGATGATTTATAGCTTCAGATTATACATTCATGGTTTATGTTTTATAATCTTTTATGAATACTCCGAAGAAACTTTCACTTTTTTGTTGGGACCATAATTTCTACTTCACTTGACAACATCTTATTAATCACACAGAGCCAATTATAGATCTTGACAAGTTCTTAAACCATTTTGTCATGTCTCTTATGTATTTAATTCGGAGTAACTGATGATTCATATCTGAATATATATAGCTACTTCTACAAGCTTCACTTGTCTTTTTGCAAATATTTCCTTAGCATAAATAAAAACACCTAGTGTCTAAATTATAAATGATTCATTGTCAAACAATTTGGATAAAGACGGCCGTTATATTTTTATTTCTTCTTTTTGCCGACAAACGCCATAAATAGAGTTACCCTGAAATTATTATTATTTTTTATTTTTTATTTTATTTTTTTTTGTTGTTGTTGTTGTTGTCAACAGTTTGGTATGGGGTTATACTATACTGGAAATTGGAAATTTATATATGGGTAGTTATATTTGCACCTAAAAATTTATTAATACACCCACTAAATTATAATTTATGTATATTATAGTTTTATCTTATATTAAAATTATATCAAAACCCATAAATATACCCCCACATTAACTATAAATGAAAATTGTATTTAAAAAAAAATAAAAGAGTATACACCCACATTAATTAACTATAATTAGAAAGTAATTTTCAAGCAATAAAAAATATATACCCCCAGATTTCTGGTTTAAGCTAATTTCATCTTTATAAACTCTAAAATTTTCTCCATCAAATTCTTTAACAATTTCAATGGAGGTTCTGATTGAAACAAGAGAGAGAGAGAGAGAGAGAGAGAGAGAGAGAGAGAGAGAGAGAGAGAGAGAGAGAGAGAGAGAGAGAGAGAGAGAGAGAGAGAGAGAGAGAGAGAGAGAGAGAGAGAGAGAGAGAGAGAGAGAGAGAGAGAGAGAGAGAGAGAGAGAGAGAGAGAGAGAGAGAGAGAGAGAGAGAGAGAGAGATGTCTCTTAAAGAGCCAACAAATGCAAAAAAGATATCAATTCACAATCTGCATAATTATATATGGATTTCTTTCCATTTTGGTTGAGGTCATACATACACTTGGTGAATAACGTTGTTGCATATGGAAATTGTGGTTTTCAAAGGAGGAGGAAGAGGAGGGAAAGACAAAGACAATTAATAAATAAAGGTAAATGGATTTTTTTTTTATGAAAGGTAAATAGAATTGCAAGATGTTTAAAAAGGAAATATAACATTAATAATATAAAGATATAATATTATTTTATGAATCAAATCAAGATTAAAATTAAGTGGGGTATGAGAGGGTTGAATTAGGTATATTATGAAAATTATATTTATAAAATGATAGATTTTTCAAATTTTTATTAGAGGAGTATTATCTGGTGGGGGTGTTAATAAATTTTTAAGGTGTAAATATAACTACTCTTTTATATATAGAGAAGTGAAGATTGATTTCCATTTCGAGATCATGAGTCAACGATTCTTTTTCAACATATTTTGCTGTAATTAGCATTGATTGAATTGAGAAAGTTGGAATGAAAAATGAAAGCCTAAGAAATCTAAGCATGAAAGATCAATCCCCTCAAAAATAAGGGAAAAGAATAAATAAGCACCGGCATCGGGTTACGTTTTTTCAATCATAACATGACATGTTTTGGCTTGGTTTGAAGAAGAGAAAGCATTGTTTGTCAATAGTTCTGTTTTCTTTTCTAATTGGATAACTAGTGTTACGTCTATCAAGATGTTTTGGGTCCAATTATATAACTGTTTCAAAATAATATCAAGGTTTGGAGAAGGAAAAGCGTTATTTATACTCTTAATTCTAGCAAAATATATAAATTCCTCACAAAATGAATTATCCGTACGCCTCTAATGATAGTTAATCAAATTCAAAATCTAATCGAGAAGAATATATATATATATATAGCTTTCAATGTTTATGTGGTGTCAATATATGAATGATTATGTTTTGAATTTTATGCAGGGACAGAAATGGAGATTAATGCTTGCAGAGAAGGAATAACGTGCTTAAGCTTCTAAACAGCTAAAACAACAAATGAAGTTACACAAAATTCAGTACACGACAAAAGTTGATGATTCAAACATCAAAAATAAGGACAAATTTCTGATTAGAAGTGAAAGATCAATCCCCTCAAAAGAAAAAAAGTATATATTGAAAGATGAATCAACCGAATTAATGAGTTGAGTCTAATAATTGATTTCATTTAGTTTTCAAGAATTAATTTCTTAGCTAAGGCGAGTCCCGAAACATCAATGGTTCTTGAACTTTCCACCGCATTTCTTTTCTTTTTCTGTTTATTTCTATATAAAACTTTTAGATGTCCCACGTAAAACTAAATGAGGATAGATAATTGAAGATATAAATTAATTAATATATCTTATAAGTCAACTTATAATAAGTGAAATGAGAAATTGAGAATGCGTGTACAACTGAACGAAGCATAGCCCCCTCACATTCTATTATTATTTTTATATAAACATGATCAATTAGGTGATTTTGTCTCTAATAAATGCTTGATGATCAGTTTACCAATTACAAAAAGCCTCAAAATCCTTAGATTTGGACTCCAATATGTATGGAGCTCATTCTTAAAGACAATCTTAGTTTATAAATGCATTAGGAAATCTCACCTCAAGTATATAATAAATCACATCATATATATGGGTTTCTCTTGTGATTATACTTTCTCTTATCAACAACAACAGCAAACTCGTCTCCCCATGAACTTCACTCAAAAAACTCAAAGCTTTCCCAATTCCAATCATCCAAATATTGTCCTAGTTGATCATCATTCCATGTCGCTCGCTGCTGATAATCTTCACCTTCCAGACAACAAAGAAAAGGTACATGATTATTTTTATTTTGCTAATAGTTTCTAGTTAATTAATTGATCTTTCTGTCTATGTGGGGGTAATTTGTAATATTTGAAATTGTTTGCTGTTGATGTTGATATATGTACTTGGCAGAGCAAAGGAGGAACAAAGAGAAAGAGAGACCGTTCCAAAGACGCCAACAATACTGAAGAAGTTATTCACGTAAGAGCAAAGAGAGGCCAAGCTACTGATAGCCACAGCTTGGCAGAAAGGGTATACTACTCTATACATGTTCCATCAAATAATATTTTCTTTCTTTTTCTTAAAATCCCTTCTTAAATGCCTTTTGTAATCGTGTTTAACGGAGCGTAATACACGAGTTTATGCATGATTAATTAGCTAGTGATTTGCTCAAAATAGGTAAGAAGAAAGAAAATAAACGAGAGGTTAAAATGCCTTCAAACTCTGGTTCCAGGATGTTACAAGGTAAGAATTACTTTAATCTGTTGCCCAAGACTTGTAAATGATATGACAATTAATCAATAACTATAACATATATACATATATATTTCTTCAAGCAGACAATGGGAATGGCAGTAATGTTGGATGTGGTTATCAGTTATGTTCAATCACTTCAGAATCAGATTGAGGTAATAAGTTTAAACTACAAGAAACTGGAAATATATATATATATATATATATTCCATATGTTTTTGTTGCTTGAAACTAAAAGTAAATATTTCTTTTCCAATTTTAAAGTTTCTATCCATGAAGCTTTCTGCAGCAAGTATGTACTACGATTTTAGTTCGGCGAATACGGATACTACCAACGCAATTCAGGTACTTCTTTTTACATCTTCATGATGTTTTTTGTTTTTAAAACTCTCTTAACGCCATGCAATTCCCACCTTTGAAACTGAAAAACAGGTCAGAAATGCGCTTATGACTCAAGGGACAAACGCAGTACATGTGAATCAGAAGTTTGGAAGAGAAGTGTATGGAGGATTTTCTCAAAGCTTCCACTGATCAATGCCTTTGCAACACTTTTCCCACGCAGAGTACTCTGTTTTTCATGCTTGTAATTTTATTTTATTGTTTATTTGTTTGTGAAAAAGAAGAGTTGTAAATGAAAACCAATGATATTATTTGAAGGACTTCACGTTGTGGAATTTCCCAAGAATTATTTGTAGTTTCGGTTAATCATAATCAGAATAATTAGAGACTTTCTTTGTATCATTGTACCTTTTCTTTGTGGGTGGTGGTGGAAGACAAACATACTTAATTATATCAAGCATTGTGGATCACTTTCATGTATCTATATAAGTAATCATAGTGACAACCAATGAATCTAGGTCATATACGATCAATCGTTTTCACACTTGAGATTCATTCTTCGTATTTAAAACGTTGAATGGCACGGATAGTTGGAGATGTTGGCAATGTAGATTTTAATTTTTTTTCCACTTAATTAGGGATAAGTACTGGTGTCTTCATACTCCTACTCAATGCTACATTTCTGAAATTACTAGTCTAATGAAAAGGAGACTTGTCCATGCTCTCGTCAATAATGCACAAAAAGTTTGTGCACATCAAACACATAATCTTACTATATTCTAAAGAATAAATAACTTATTCAAAAAACCAAATCTCTAACGGATGGAGAGAGAGTCACGGAGCGATCGTTCCTTATTGCCACTATTAGTACTTTTGTGCTTGTGGACCTAATATGAAAAACTCCATAATGAATAGTCAAAGTATGTTCGAAGGACTAGGCAGGTACTTTGAATCCTAATTAATAAGGGGTTTCAATGGCCCATGCAGATGAGGACAGATCGAAGAAAACCACCTAATAATCCCTAGAATGATCTGTCATCTAAGGGCCTTTACCCTTTCGAGGGACACAACAGCCGTGTTTAGAATTGATCCCGTTTTTATTTTTCACGTTTTTCGATAAAGAAAAAATGAAAACGGTGTTTGGTGTAATAAAGATAAAAAAACAGAAATGAAAACGATTTTTTAGTTTAGTGTAAAATGAGAGAGAAATGAAAAATGACTTTTAGTCGTTTTTTTATTTTTTATTTTCGTTTTCTCCTCTCTCGAGCAGAGAGAGAGAGAGAAACATTAATAAGTTTTTTACACTGAAAACAATCTCTTGATAAAATTATCAAACGCATTTTCAAAAATGATTTCTGTCTGAGATTGAACATACAAAAAATAAAATCATTTTAAAACGAGTTTCAATCGCGCCTAATATATTATTCAGACACACACAGGTATGTTTGACACTTTAATGTATTAGAATTATACTAATATTTTGAAGGTTGAACTTTTCAAGATTGTTGGCAGTTAAAGTGTTGATTTCTAGCTGGAATATATAAGTGATAATTGAAAAGGGCTTGATCTATAGCACAAAGGGTTTAGATAAAAGATTTCAAATTCTGATTTATATCTGTGCTTATTTCAAAACACACTAAACCGTAAATATTAATATATGTTTTATCGCCAGGAAGTTTATGCCTCGGCATTAAACCAAGTGTTGGGAAAAAGATTTTATTAGGGGATCTTGCTGTAGGGTGGTAAAAATATGTTTACCTTGCCCGATAAAACTAGAACTAACTAATCACCCTTATACCTTGTTGTGTGTATCAAACGCCTTTTCACTCAATACGGCGAAGCAAGCAAAGCTAGAGCTCAAGCCCATTAGCTACAAGTCACGAGCTCAAAGCCTCAAACTAGCTCTTGTCATCCCAGAAAATGATTTTTTTTTTTTTTCTATCTCCTACAAGCACTCTTATTCATCTCATGGAGTTAAATCCGGATACTTACAGAAAGTGAATCTCATTTTTATGAGGATTTATTGTTATGGGATGAATATCATTTTTCTTTTTGTACAAACATTTTTATATCGTTAGATTTTCAGTTCAATTTTGAATATTTTATTTTATTAGAATTGGGTACCCTACCATTAACTTGTCTATCGATATGATATTATAGATTATGCCTTTCTCTCTTTTACAAGACAAAATAAAATAAATCATTACAAATTCTATTTTGTTTCGGTTTTAGATGGTTCATGCATGTCTTTCAGAGTTATAAAACCAGAGAAGCTGAGAATAAAGCCATGGGTCCATTAATTTGTTTGCTTGTCCCTAACTTTAAAGGCCAATAGATGGTATATATCCAGAGTTGAATGTTGTGACCTAATAAGTGTTGGTTGCATTTGAATTGTGATTTGCTTATTATTGATCATTTTAATGTGGTTGGTACAATGTGTGGGACAATTCCTATACCTACAATGAGCAGGTTCAGAGTCTCTGGTTGAGGTGAGAGAAGCTAGTTAGCCTTATTTCGTGTATCTTTTGTTCTCGGTGTCTTCCATAGTTGATACCTGCATTATCAGCATTTTTTTCTTACCTTTTAAAGGGTCTTTATCATCGAAATTGCTCGTTTTAAATAATAAATATAAAAAAGATTGATATCACATCAAACTCAAAACGTATGTAATTCTTAATATAAATATGTATAAGGCATGCTTGTTTAGTCGTATTATAAAGTCGGGTCAGGCCAACATAGAGTTAACGCCGAAATTTATGATTTTTTAAAAATTGGGAAGACACAATGAAAAATTCATATTTTTTAATAAATTATATTGTGACCCCCCTTTTTGTTTTAAAAATTACATTTTGACCTTAAAATTTTTGACAATTTATATTTTTGACTTTGAATTTTTGAAAAATTAAATTTTGACCCAAAATTTTTAAATTTATATTTTGGCTGCAAAAGTTTTGAAAAATTACATTTGACTCCAAAAGTTTTGAAAATGTAATTTTAACCCCTTATATAATATGTCATGACATTAAACATTATATTATGTTATGACAATATAATACAATACACCTTATATAATGCAGTACGATACAAGTTATCAAATAGATCTGTGTATATATGAAAAATGGTTAGAATCTGATTAAAAAAAAGGGGGCCTCAAAGCAGTATAAAGTTAATCGAGTATTTTTTTCTACTTTTTTTAATATATATAAGCGATATTAATCTCATACGTTATAAGACATTAATTAAAATTATTTATTGTTATATTTGGTAGAAACAAGTTTTGAAACCCATATCAAAACTCTGAAAATAATTTATATATAAAACTTTTTCTTGTCCCTAAAATAAACCAAAAAAAAAAATGATGTTTTGAAGAGGCCTCTACACTTCATGAATTACGATTTGTGATTATAAAACAATAAAAGGTCACGTAACTCTTGTAATTTGTGTACTTTTAACTATAGGGATGACAGCGGGACAAAGAAAATTGGGAGCGATTTACCATCTCCATCATTGATTAAAAAAAATGGGACGGAGTGTTGGGGAATCTCTCTTGAGACCTTCTCCGTCCCCAACTCATTCCTCATCAAATAAAATAATGCATTTTAAAATTATAACAACTTAAAACAAAATAAAAAATATATATTTATAAATTTAGACCAAGTCAAATAAAATAAATCAAATTCTAAACAGATAAATCCAAATTTTAGATTACTAGTTAGTTGTATTTTTTTTTTGTAATAGAAGTATACAAGTTGCGGTGATTAGTCTTACCTGTTCATTCTTTTCTAGTGAAAAGAATTCATTATCTTTAAAACGTTAACATTATATATATATATATATATATATATATGAGATATATAACTTACGTACATCAGGATAGATTTGGGCATAAAGTGCTTCTTCCATTCTGGTTCCATCACGAATTAGCGATAATATTTTGTCCTTATCTCTATCCCAGCCATAATTTTAATTTTCCATCCCTGTCCTAATCATGGCGAGTCCTACGGGTAATAATGACATCTTTATTTAAACATGTTTTGTGAAGTTCTTGCTAAAAACCTTCGTGAAGACTAGCATTTCTCTATTTTAAAACAGTAAGAATTTGTATTTTTAGAATAATGTTTTTTTTATTCAAAACACTTGATTTTGGAACACAAATCAAACGGCCCTTAGAGTATCTTCAATGCAAAGTCAAATTAGCATGTAAATCTCAAATTTTATTTGATTAAAAAATATTCTCCAAATTAATACTATTTTTGATGTTATATATGACCTATATCATATTTGGTGGTAAATTTGACATCAAGTATAGCATATGTTTAATTTTTAGCTATTTTATTTGATTAAAAAATATTCTCCAAATTAATACTATTTTTGATGTTATATTTTACCAATATCATATTTGGTGGTAAATTTGACATCAAGTATAGCATATGTTTAATTTTTAGCTATTATTGATTGATGTATTGAGTTTTTCATTTTATCAGTATAAAATTAGGAATTTCATTTTGTTTTAGAACTAGAAAGTTAGTTTCACAATTTTGAGATAATTATGACAAAAAATAAATGTAGCGTTTGAAATAATATTGGATCAAAAATCAAAATAATATACTTAAGGGAAAAAAGCTTAAATTACATCCTGAGACAAAGGAGGTTTCTAAGAATCAAGACCTATAAATAGAGGAAGGAATGATAAAGGGAACGTTTTCCTTTCTAGACATCGAGACTTTGCCGACCGACTGCAGATAGACCCACCCGAAAGCCCATTTGTATTTTAATACTCAATGAAATATAGTTATTTATATTATTTTTGTGTATTTAAATTGGTTATGTTCTTGAGATTTTATTTTTTTTGGTTTCATCTTAAGTATTTTAATTTAGTTTATTGTAGTTTAATTTAATTTTAATTTATTTTGTCTTGGTGTAATTTTACTTTATTTTATTTAGTTTGATATTTTGTTTCCCGTCCAAATAATTTTATTTCCCTTAATTTCGATATTTTAATCAAGAGCAAAGGGTTAAATTGGAAAGTTGGAGCTCAACTGGAAAGCCCAAATCGTGCGTGTACGTTTCTCACGGAAGAGGCGCGTCTTAGGAAGACAAAGAAGCAGTGGGCAGCCAATCGCGGAGCATCGAGTGTCTAGCTGTCGGCCACCTTCCCAGCGCGCCCGCTCTCATGCCATGCATCCCAAGTTTCCTTGCATACGCTCTAGTTCTATAGCTCTCACATTTTGCCAAGTGTCCAAGCTCAGTGGCCTGCTAGTCTCATGCTACCTCGTGACCGACGCACACTGAATCCTAATTATTTCCCTCTTTTCTCGCATTTAATTAGAATTCGTTTAATTTATTAATTTAAATTTTTAATTGAAGTTGAGATATGATTTTATATGAAATTTTTTTATTTT